TTGTTGTTTTGTGTTGTTGTAATCTTGTTTTCTTTATTTCAGGAGACGAGCCAATACCTTGGTTAAAGTCAGGATGATTCTAAAATATATTTTATTATGTTTTGTTTCTCAAAGGATAAGATACCATTCACTTAATTTTTCTTTCTGTCTTCATGCCTCCAAGACCTATTAAAGAACATGTGGGGAAAGGAGCCTTTAATGCCGTTGGCATCTCTTACAACTCTAATTAGGTGTATTTTGCTTTAGCTGGTGAGTAGTTTTCTTAATTGAATCACTATTACATTCCACAATACCCAATCCTTATCATTTTAATACTTGATTTCCCAAATCTCTTTGTCCCCTTGAAGATCATGTTACCTAGAAGTTCATCTTTGTGAGTTCTATCAATCCTGACTCACCTAGGACCACCTTTCTCTGTCATCTACTTCCTCTTTCTTCCCTTTCTTCCAAGCTCAACATCTGTAATCCACCCTTGATCCCATCCCTCACTCACTATGGAGGAAGACTGTATTTTTTAATCCTGTCATGTAAACAAGTTTTTCTTGATTCCACTCAACTCTCATTTCCCCAAGCTTTTTGGAAGCACTCCCGTCTTCTAGCTCTAATTTTAAAGGTCTAACAATTGAGGTTTACGTGGTTTCCTGGTACTTAGAATCACAACAATTTAGACTTTTCTTTACCCTTCCTCCTCCATCAGGGATTAATGTTCACCAATCACTCGCATGTGACCTAGTAGTAAATCTGGTGTCTTTTTCTCACCCAATTCTTTTCAACATTTTACAGAGTGATGACTCCAGTGTGCTAGAAGCCAGGAAGGACTTTCTTTGAAATTCTCAATGGATCTTTTTTCTCCATGCCTCATTTTTAAACTGAAAATGTGAACCTTTCTCTATGATTTTACCAATAGTTTCATATTTTCAATAGTCTTATTATGGGCATGCTACCTGTATTTTTTTTCTTCATACTCTCTCTAATCCCTTTATCTGGAATTTTCCTGTTTAAAATAGCCCTTTCTGCATGAATAGTTCCAAAAACTATTAACATTGAATTGCAGGCTTAAGTTTCCTGGTTTGGCTGGGTTTACTGAGGTTAAATTCTATGACTATTATCAATCTCCTCAGGTCCAGAACACAATCAATGCTTTCCTATTTTTTCAGTTTTCTTTTGCTCGTCTCCCCCTTTCCAGAATAAAGTCTTGCCATTTCTGGTCCCATTATTTGCCTTTGCTGCAATTATTTATTTATTGATTTTTTTTTACAAAACAGGGTTATTTGAGGTATACTGCAAGAGGCATCAGGGTAGGCAATAACAAGAGTAATGCTCCTGGCTAATTATCAACATATTTGATCTTATTTCTACCTGTTTTCCTGTTTTAATGCTATTAATCACCACATTTTGGTGGGTTGGTGCTTTTGTTTTCTTTTATTACTCTTCCTTCCTTTGGGGATCAGTTAATTTAGCATATTTGGGGTTTGGTTGGCCCTTTCACCTCAACTTTACTTTTTCCTCTTGCATATCTGTATGCACTGGTCTTTACCATGTAAATTAAAATAAGCACCTTTGACTTATACTATTCATATTCAAAAGCTATTTGAAGAAAAATAGTAACAGTAACTATCTCATTTTGATTTTTTGCTCCACGCTGTCTTCTTGATGACTATAACTTGTTTTGCACAGATTTACTATAAACTCTGTCCTGGATGCCTTTGCCTTAAAAAGCCTGTTATCTAAGACACTTAGTAGTCTGTATGACAAACTGTGAACATTTCAAAGCTTCTTTTATTGACTGACCTTTTGTGTTTTATAGTATTCCCCCATTGTTTCTTATAGCACTAGGCTATTTGATGATATTTCCTTTTGTCATTTAAAGCTCTTCTAGAATTTTTGGCTCAGCTAGTCTCTCAGCAATGGATTCGTTAGCTATTCCTCTAGCCAAAGATATCTTTTAAGTATTTATTTGAAAATAGTTTTGAAGACTAATTTTACTGGCCTGAACTTCTGAATTGACATGGTCTTATAATAGGTTATATTGTTTTGAGTTCTTTAATCATTTAAAAAATGTTAGGTCATTATTTTCTGGCACCATTTTTATTTTTCTGTAAAGAATTCATGGAAAGAGATAAATGGAAAAGAAGCAAGTTTGTATATATACAACAGATATGGAACAATTTCACTAGGAACTTCTGGGAAACTGTATGATATTGGCTTTAGTGAAGTATGTATCCACCAACTCTCACCCGTGTTGGCTAGTCTTCTTATTGTAATCAGATACCTGGCAAGAAGCAATTTAACGTAGGGTTAAATTTTGGCTAAGGGTTGCAGAAACACTGACCACAGCGGCAACTAGAGACTTCTTCAAGGATGCACCCAGGGGTGTATGTCCTAGGTGAGTCCAAATCCAGTTAAGTTTCCAGCGAGCAGCCCATCTTATCCCACCCTTTGCCAACTTGGCAGGAACACGTCATCCTTAAGCTACACCATTCCACTCCTGGCCTCAAAGACTCCTACTGTTTCTATAATGAAGAGTCTATAAGGAGTCAGAGCATGGCTGTTCAAAAGTTTAAGGTCCATCAGAGACTTAAGGTAATCTCTTAACTGAGAGATACCCCCCAAAAGCCACAAATTCCTAATATACAATGACAGAATATGCATTTCCATTCCAAAGAGGAAGAAACTGGAGCAGTGAGCAAAGATTGTGCCAAAGCCACACTGCGACAGGCAGGGACAACACCAAGCCTTGTGTCCCATCATCTAAAGCCTTGTTTAGTTACTGTTTATTGATTGGTGTGTGTGCGCGTTGTGTGTGTATGTGTGTTTGAATGCTCATGTGCATGTGGCAGTCACAGGACAACTTGACAGAGCTGGTTTTCTCCTAGAAAGGCATGGGTTCCAGGTGCACTGGGCTTGGCAGAAGGCCTTTGTACTCATTCAGTCTTCTCGTCTCACAATCTGAGGCTCATTATGGTATCTTATGGGGTTCCAGATACAACCCACATTCGAGGTGCCTTCCCTTTCCAGTTCCACCTTTTTGAGAACTCCCTCAAAGACATACTCAGGGTTGTGACTCCCGGGTGATTCCAGATCCAGTGTGTTAGCAATGAAGATCGCAGTGCAGAGGCTGCAGCGTATCATGTTTACTTCTCTACCAGCCTCTTGATCAGGGGTCTTGCCAGTGGTGGCTCTTACTCCAGATTCAGAGAGAGACAGAGGTGCAGGTTCTCACGGTACAGAGAAGCTGCTATGAGAGAATGAGGGCAGCTCTGTGACTTGCTCTCTGATGGCACTTTCATTTTCGGGTATATGGGCACATTGGATCTCGGTGCTACTGGGAAGAGAATTCTAGTCTCACTTCCCGTTAATTCTGTTGTAGTAAAAAAAAAAAAAAAAAAAAAAAAAAAGGCTGTTGGGCTATGTAGTGTTTATTATTAGCCTTATGATTATCACACCAGTATTATCTAACCTGCTATCACAAATAATAAGACACAGACACCTGTTAGGTTTTATAATTGCCTTTTTTGCCTTGGGCTGGGCAGCTATCCGAATCACCTCACCATCCACCTCCCAGCCCCCATCCAATGCCATCCTCCTTAATTCTTCTATCTTCCATCCATAATCTTATAAATACTTGCTTTTATTCTTAATTTGGGCCTTTCACACTATTATTGGAGTCCTTTCTCTCAGCCCAAATGGTTTTATTTCTCTACACTAACCTGCCATAGTGACCTTCTTCCTCCTCTCTTCTAGCCCATCAGTCCCATGATTCTCATGATTCTTTCATCCTCACAAGCCTAGGAACTTTAGCCATGCCTACTCTGTTCTGCTTTGCCCAGGTATAGGCCATTTAATGAGCCAATCAGGTATATATTTTAGGCAGGTTTACACAGGTTTATCCGGCAGGCAGTAGCCAAATATATATATTTTTAATTGTGACATTTATTTATTTATTTATTTTTAATTAAATTTTTATTTTTTAATATTAGTTACAGTTTATTAACTTCATATCCCAGCTGTATCCTGCTCCCTCATTCCCCCCCAATCCCACCCTTCCTCCCTCATCTTCTCCCTATCCCTTTCCAAGTCCACAGATAGGGGAGGACCTCCTCCCCTTTCATCTGACCCTAGTTTATCAGGTATCTTCAGGCCTGGCTGCAAAGTCCTAGTTTATTCACTTTGTATCCCAGCTTGTAGCCCCCTCCCTTGTCCGATCCTAATCCTACCTTCCCTTTCTCATCTCCTCCCCTGCCCCTCCCCAAGTCCACTGATAAGAGAAGTCCTCCTCCCTTTCCATCTGATCCTAGTTTATCAGGTCTCATCAGGACTGGCTGCATTGCCTTCCTCTGTGGCCTGGTAAGGCTGCTCCCCCCTCAGGGGGAGGTGATCAAAGAGCCAGCCACTGAGTTCATGTCAAAGACAGTCCCTGCTCTCATTGGATACTGAGCTGGATACCACTTGGATACTGAGCTGCCATGGGCAGGAGTCTTATAAACAATAAAAATATTTCAGACAATAATGATATGAAGAGTTCTGGCTGGCTCTTTTTTATCCCCCCCCCCAAGCCTGTATCCATGCATGTAACAGCATAGTTTGGTCTCTTCATTGCCAAAGAAGTCAAACTTACCAGACTGCTTAGAGGTTTTATTTATGTGTGTGTGTGTGTGTGTGTGTGTGTGTGTGTGTGTGTGTGTGTGT